AGCCAAGCTGTCATCTCTGAGGACTAATGACTCCCATCCTCTGCAGGAGGAGATAAAAGCTCTGGAGAGCTCCTTCAGCGATAGACTGATTCACCCAAAGTGTGTGAAGGAACACTATCGCAGGTCCGTCCTGCCTGCTGCTGTCAGGCTACATAACCAGCACTGCTCACAGTAAACTGCACCATGGACACTTTATGGACACTATGGACACTTTATAAACTACAAGCACTGCTGTCCCCCTTGTTGTTGTTTATTTGCACATACAATATTCACTTTGCACTACATATGCTCACTTTAATCCATTGCTCACTTTTTATTCACTGCTCATTATTATTATTATTATTATTATTATTATTGTTATTTATTGACATTTCTTGTATTTTTTGTACTTTTTTTTGCATGCCTAGTTTTTTAAGTTTTTAAATATTGAAATCTTTAATCTGACTCTTTCCCCTTGACTGCTATAACACTGGAATTTCTCAATTGTGGGATCAATAAAGGTGTATCTTATCTTATCTTGTCATTCATGATCTGAGCCGCCATTATAGGTGGACATGTCAGGCTATAATAGGGCTGGTATCATGTAGTCTAAACCCAGCATCATTGGCCAATAAGGCTGCCAGCAATTAATTTTTTACTGATTAATCTAACCATTATTTTTTTTAATAGTTGATTAACCTAACGACTAATCAATCGATTATTTTAAAGATTATTTTTTATTACTCAATTATAAAAACAATTAATTTGCCCCAAAACTAAAATAAAAAACTTTAATTAATATTTCAATATTTCATATCTTAACATAAATCAGCGCACACTGAACTGAGTTACTGTGATTTTATTAAGAGTGAACAACACATTTCGCCTGTGGCTTCTTTCATTTCAATATTTTATTCAATCATTTTCTCATAAGAGACAATGATAATAGTGGCATATTTGAAGATTAGTCTAATTTCCACTGTTGTGTTATGTTATTATTACTACTACTACTACTACTAATAATAATAATAGTAATAATAATAGACCCTATTTATCAGATGTGTACTGGACCTCAAATTCAAAAGGATTAAATCACTGTATATCATGGCAGCCTTTTCCCTGAACTGGAAAATCAGTGTTTTTACGTAAGTACTTGACTTAAAACTTAAAATGCTTATAACACGGATTTATTTCTTCACTGGAGTAATATGCATTGCAGATAATAACTGGCAAATGTATTTTTGCACAAGCATGGAGCAGGGAAAATAACTGAAACCATCTGCAACAGACAGCAATTTCAGTTTAAACTGTTTCCTCACCTGCATATGGCAGCTAAAGTAAACAGTAAAATATAAAATGGCTGATTAACAACGTAAGGTGACACATTAATTAGAGTTTTTTACATGAACAGCGGTGCCAAAAGTTGAAGTGACTACTATTGACAGAAACACGTTCCACATGTTAATAACCCTAACAGATCATACCTGGATGGAGACAAAAAGTAAACAGGATGGTTCTGTCTGCTGCTGTCTTAAAGGGATAGTTCGACATTTTGGCAAATTCATATGAGTAGGTACATTACCTTTAATCGTCAGTGCCTGCTGTTTTGAGATCGGTGGGGCAGAGCTGCCCGCTGCTCAGCGCACAAAATGGAGGTGAATCGTACGGCCCCCTCTCTCCCTCAAAACTAATCAATTACACCATCAAATGACTCCAAAACGCTCTAGTGGACAACACATGGCTTGCGCATTCCCCATGCTATGAAATAATAATGTATAATTAAGTAACATTACGACACATGAAGCAAATACTCAGAAGTACTTTCTTGAGTAAACCACTGGGCGGAGTGACACAGTGCGCACCTGAGACAGTGCCGTTGTTATTGCTTGCAGCCTTGCATTTGCGGTATTGTCAGCTGGACGCACCAGAAAGTTTGAGAAAAGTTTTGTTGAGTGTTGTTGTAAATCATGGTTTACACATGTATGGTAAAAGGTTGCGGGAACAAGCCAAAGACATGGAGCAGATTGAAGTTTCACGTAATACCAACCAGTAATACGGACAGGATGAAACAATGGCTATTTGTGCTGGACATCGACCCCAACACGCCTGTGGAAACGGTCTGGAAAATGTTTGTTTGTTCCAACCATTTTTTACCGGAGGACTACAGTGAAAGGATGGAGCGCAGAGCTCAGGAATGGTTCAAACACTTTTCTTGAAAGATACTGCCATACCATCTGTTGGCATCACAAAACGAGCAGACGTGGTAAGTGATCTTTGTGTATTTTGCTCAACAATCTCTCTGCTGTAACGTTACCTCCATGTTGAGTAACATTAGCCTACAACCCAAGCATGGTAAATAAGGCTAAAATGCAAATGTTGCTGTGGTTATGTTGTGGATAGTCTGCCATGATCAGCAGTCGGCTTCTTCTCAATGAACTTATCTTTTTGGTGACGGGCGTAACTGCACTAAACATACGCTATTTGAAATCACTCCGCCTAGCAAGTACTGTATGTCTGGAATGTAGTTCCAGCTGTGCATTTGACTTCAAAACAACTCTGTCTCGTAATATTACATTATTATTTCATAGTGTGGTGAGTGTGTAAGCTACAAGTTGTCCACAAAAGCATTTTGGAGTCATTTGATGGTGTATTTGATTAGTTTTGAGGAGAGAGGGGGCCGTACCGTTCACCTCCATTTTGTGCGCTGAGCAGCAGGCAGCTCTGCCCCACCGATCTCAGAACAGCAGGCACTGATAATTAAAGGTAATGTACCTCCCCATATGACTATAGGGATTATGGCAATAGGTGAATCTGCCAAAATGTCGAACTATCCCTTTAACAACACACTCCGGGCTGCTTTTGCTTCAGTACAGTTGTACTCCTGTGAGAAGTCCTTTTTCAATTTGTGGGCAAGATTTTTTTAGCTGCAGCGAGTTCTCTGAAGGAATCCAAGCTCTGACCAGGTGCAGCTTGCCCAGACCAAACTGCTCCACAATGCAGTGGTTGCACAGCGCCATAAATAAGTGGAATACCCGCTTTTAATTGTGAAAATACAGTAGTTATAGTAGCAGGCAGCTCTGAAGCAGCAACGCTATCTGTGTGAATACCACAAGTGTGCAAGCCCCATCAGTTTAGCAAGGGAGCTGTCACATGCTGCTCATGCAGGCAGTGTGGCCCAGGTGTAACTACTGTGATACACTTAGGCACGTTTTGCAAATCAAACTATTTCTGTAATCGATGGCGTTGATTACATTGGTGAATTGCCCCACTCCTACTGGCCAAAGCTCCAACAAGAGGACCAATTAAAACAACTGTCCTTCCAAGCTGAAGAGCTGTCAGAAGTGACCATATTTGGATGAGAGGGTGGAGCTGTGGAGGAGCAAGGGGTGACTGTGAGTCCACGGACACCATCCACAGGAGATGAGTATAGCTGCAGACACATTCTGTAGGGTACACAACACGCCCCTACAAACCACACCCAACACTGTACAAGACCAACTCGTCATCATGATGAATGTCTAAGCCCTGCTACAATGCAACACTGTAATGCAGTGATATTCAACTTATGGCCCACAATCAAGTTCCAGGGGAGCCCTTTTTTAATTCACAATGAAAATTAACTAAAGGATTTCTTTGTACTTTGAATGTAAATAAGGTGCCAGAGTACAAACTAAGTAAAAAAGCTTCACCACAGAGCTTGTTTATTGAAAAAAAAAAAAAAAATGCCAGATTTCCATGTGTTAGACATCGTTGGAAAGCTTAGAAACTACACTTTCAGAATCTGTAAATAACTCAAAATGCCTCTCGGGAGACTTGTTCCTGGTTTTTCCATGGCTGGTCACAAATGTCATCAAATCCTATACACACCCCTGCTGACACCTGACCTGTGTGAGGCTGCTGTAACTGGATTTGCATCTAGGGCAAAGATGAGTGAGGACAGCAAACATGGAAAGGTTGGAAACAGGCAACTCATTTATATAGCAATATAAATATAGTAATAACCCATGTTATAAATCATTAAACGTGGGTTATTGCTATATGTGGCCCTATTCATTACAGCAGGGATACTCAACATGTTTTGTCCAAGGGCCACTTCTGCATAACGACAGGAGGCCAGGGGCCAGTAAATAAACAAATATTGATATTTATCATTATATGTAATAAATTATTACATGTGAAGACTTGATTCACATTATGCGTTTCAAGATGTACCCCTTCCCATTACTCTAACCTTAACCACCTCTCTTATAACCTAATACTTCAAAGCTAGCTAATCGCTAACTTAGCATTTTCTTCAAGACTTCTACTTCCAGGCCAAGGGGCGAAGGAGGCTGACTGTGGAATGACATGTAGGTATGGTGGGCTGGTCACATAGCAAGTGGACGCATCACGTAGCTACTCCAGCTGTAGTTATACCTGTCACAGACAGCCTGCCACTCAAAGCGCCATGCCCTTAATCATGCTTAATTTTAAGCATTAATAAAATGTTAAACATCATCCAATGAAAGAAACAATGTATTTGCAGGTTTGTTAGGACCCATTCTCGGAACCCATCAGCTGTATTTGACATTTGACTTCCGGCAGACGGCGATACAGCCTCTGGGGGCAGAACCCTGATTTTTTGGCATTCCAGTTTGATTTGGGCAGAGGAAGCGAATTTCCGTTTCCGACTTCCGTTTATATATAAGTAAATATGCTGAACCACTGCGATGGATTCAGAGTTTGCAGTGACGGCAATTATGTTCCGCCTCGTTAGTTCACCGCACGGAGTGTTTAACCTGGCAACAACTGCAGCCGGCTCATACGTGATTGTTCAATATCATTCGTATTACAAACAGCCTACAACCGGAAACCAGGGCTCTTCTGCTCTTCTTCCGGAGGCAAGATCTCCGGGGTTTGCCTACAGACTCTACATTCACTGAATGCAGAGTCTGTATACAGAGACTAATTAGGACCTAATCAGTCCTGTATAGGTATATGATGTGTGATTGAGGAATATGGCAGGTGATGTTGCTGTGTACCTTGGTGCTGCAGGTAAAGCGGGGGCAGGGAGGTGTGGATGAGTCTGGGTATCAGTCCGCTGCTCCTGCTGTACTGGAAGTACTGCTTCACCCAGTCAAACAGCCGGGTGTGGGTGTCACCTGGGCCTGTGGGCTGGTGGAAGTCAATGATGCGGGCACTGAAAACATACAAAACCAACACAATCAACACAACACAAGTCTTACTTAGTGTTACACTTAACTGATACATTACCAAGTTCAGCTTCATGAAGATTTTAAGCCACAACCATAATGTGACTAGAATGAGATCCTGCAGCTGAGATCCTGCAGCTATAACTACTCATCAGATGAGTTGTAGACAACTATGTTATTCCTGCCAATTGCTCTGCTTGATCTACTTACCATGATTTTATGTAGGGAAGGAAGCTCACCAGTGTGCATCTGGTGGCCGGGTCTTGACTAGGTATGTCCTGATCTGATCTCAAAGATCAGTACCGGGGCAGATTAAGGCATTTTTCTAAGGATCGGCTATATTAAGCAATATAGCCCCATCCCATCTTTAATTTTACAACAGCCTGTGCTGTTTTACTTGCGAAGCTTTCATGCACAGCAACATGAGTGAGCTGTCATCAACTCCACAACTCTCTGCTGTCTGTCCCTCTTCCACTCCGCTGAACTCCTGTGAGCAGGGGCTGAGTCCCTCCCATAGCAAAACACTTCACGCCATTAACAACAGCAAAATGCAGTATGCAATGTTTTATGTGTTATTGACCAAAATTATGAGCACTCCTGTCATTTTAGCACAAGCCTTATTCTAGCTCTTTGCTTGTTCGTCATCTATGGCTCATGGTATTTCACTGCCCTGCTTGAAGGAGACACAGACAGCGGTGTGGAGCCAATTAATTTATGGGCACCAGAAAGCACCTGCGTCAGCAGAGGCTCATGGCAATCCTATAAATGAGAATAATAATAAAAGAAACAAACATTAATCTCCAGACCGAGTTATTACTCATTTTATGTTTGATCTGTTTGTGATACTTGTGAACTCGACAGATTTTATGAGGGATGACACAAAGTCATGTTTCTTTAATCTGCACCTTATGTGGGTGTTCTATTTTTACATGAATTAACGAATGGTTAAGTTAATCACACATTGACTCCACTCGGTACTCTGATGCTACGTCGCCCCAGACAGAGTGCCCAAAGTGCGCTCTGCCACTCTGGGTACTCTGGTACCAAATAATTATTTCCCTCATTGGTTATGAACTGAATTACTTAAGTGGTTTAAAATAATTAATTGACACGAGAAATTGTAAAAACTCACATCTGTCAAACATGAATTGGGCTTATTGTCCTTGGTTAAATACTTGTAGAGGCATCCCATATAATATAATATAATATAACCATATAACCATATAATATAATTTAGTTAGCTAACGCTGTCAGCTTATTAACTCCTTGATCATATCAGAATATAGTTACTTTTATCACTGCTCATTTTAGAGAAGCCATGGCAAGAAAACCTGTTCTTTGTTAATGTTATATAATGCATGTTTAGATTGGTTCCTGTCTGCATCCAGGCACGGGAAAATAAAAGGCTCGCTACCATTATTCTGGGAATCACAAAGCCTAAAAAAAACACCCATGTTACATTTTGTTAACTTACGGTTAGGTTTCCATTCACTGTGTATATGTCTCAAAATATGCCCTCTCAATCCCTGTCAATAGGGAGGCATCAAAAAATAGCCCTCTTCCTTATTACTGTGGGATATTAACTCTAGCTCAAATTCCAAAATTATATCTCACCACCTCCACTAGCCCCTCTACAATCACGCACTAATGTAACATTTAACTAATATTTAACTCAATATTTAATTCACACTGACCCGCAAAAAATTATGATTAGAAGCACTTTTCCTCTAACTCCCCAATGTTAGATGACATGGTTTAAGAGAAGTACATGTAAAATTAATAGGCTGTTTGTGGTTAACATTATGTGTACAGTATGTACAGTGTCCCAGACTAATCTGTTAGTCTATCTGTTAATGTTCCGTAAATCTATTAATTTAGTGGGGGATAATCTACTAACATGCTTTAATGCACATGTTAAGCACATGTTAATTTGACAGATGAGGTCACAGTGACCTTGAGCTTTGACCACCAAAATCTCACCACTCCCTTGCTGAGTCCATGTGGGCAGTTGTGCCAAATTAAAAAAAAAATTACCTCAAGACATTCTTAAGATATCGTGTTCATGTATGTACGGACATTCAGACAACCCGAAAACAAAATGCCTTCTGCTTCGACTATTGCCGGAGCTGAGGCATAAAAATTTTGTTACTAGCAGGCCACGTTACAGTGGCTTTAGAAAATGTTGTACGTGTTGCTTTGCTCAACTTTGATTATTGGATGACAAAAAGCGACCGGTCCAGGGTGTACCCCACCTCTTGCCTAATGTCAGCTGGGATAGGCTCCAGCCCCCCCGCGACCCTCAAGAGGATATGTGGCTAGAAAATGGATGGGTGGATGGATGGATGCATGACAAAAAGCAATATAAGACCAGCATAGGCTGTGTGCTTTAACATACTAATTAGAGGGAGTGTAGCGCTCACCTGATTCCCAGAGAGGTAAGGAGGACGTAGATCTCTGTGGCTCCGATCCAGGCTCGTGTTCCCTGCAGCCGCTGGTTGAAGTGGGAAGCACCATGTGGATCAAGCCCTTCTTTCCAAGCCTTCTCAATCATACTCTGCACCCGGGGAATACTAGGCACTGTCTTCTCTGGAGGAGGAGAGTGTCAAGTCAAAGTGAATGGCAATAAGTGAAATATGTACAGGTGCAGACCTGGAGTCAAAAAAACACAAAGCCCTGGTTGTTACTGTTTTACTCTTTCTTAGTTTCGTCGCTCGCTTTCTTCTCATGTGATCAGTCTGGCATAAATTCAACCAAAAAAATGCTGACACTTTCTTGGATCTTGATGTACTGTACCATGCTTTCTTGGTGGTGAATTTTTAGTAGGTCTGTTATACATTTCTATCATTATACATGGCTAACCAGCCAACTGTGGGTGATGTCACATCAAGATAGTTCCAGTACAGCCACAGTGGTGCTTGATGCCAGTCTCAGTTATCAAAATGACAAAAATCTTCTTGTGTTTTTGCACCCACTATCAACAATCCTACAGGGAGAGAGATACTAATCTCTGCAACAATAATGTCACCAGACCAGAATGCAGAGCAAGGACAAGACATAATGTGCTTTGAATAAACAGCATGGTTGGAGACACACCTCATACCATGGCAACTTACCAAAGGAAAAATAAGGAGAGTTTGTGTTTAAATGAGCATTTTCCAGTAAGCAATTCAGCAGTGAACATTAGCATAAGAATCACAAACATCAAAAGAGAAAATTACACTAAAAACTGATGACATTTTTATCTTAAATTATTTCACTTTTGGATTTTGGCTCTTTGGAATAAAATCTACGACTACGACATCATATTTAGCTCCCAACTGCAACAACAAAATATTGAAGTGAATGAATTTGCTAAAGCTCTAAATCATGTCTCTGACTGACATCTTCTCCATTCCAACTGTGACCCAGTGATGTTCTTGGTACTTGTCCTGTGACCCTGTCGCATAAAAATCTAAATTTTACATCCATGCTTCCAGAGGATGCACCTAATTATTTTCTACACTAATGCTACATTGTAAACAACAAATCCATTTTGAGAGAATTGAAACACTGATGTCGCATGACTACTTATTTTGAAAGTATTTCTCATGTCACAGAATCCACTGAGAGTGAAACATGTGTTTTGGATGCAGAGTGATTGAGTACCTTGTAGAAAGGGAGCATATGCATCAATTCTGTGCAGAGAGGAGAGGAGCATCTGGAGGTTTCTGTATCCACAGCCCCAGCCTTTATCCCCCGCTGAGGAGCAGAAGTGGTCGGTATCTGCACTCAACCACACATGGACACTGTCTCTGCATTCAGTCTGGTAATATTCAGATAACGCTCTGACCACACCTACACCCCAAAAAAAGGAAGCTCAAGTCAGTGCATTCCAGCAGCAGGGCAGCAGTGATACCGACAGAGCTTAACTAGAGGCCATCAGATCCCACTCTGACCAATATATTGTACATCAAAGGTGTTGAACGCTACATGTTTAAGTAAATACAATCATTATGGAATTCCAGAATTGTCTTAGTTATAAACCAGTGGCAACAGGTTCAAAGGATTTATTCAAATTCAACTAAAAAGGCAGCAGTTGTGTGTTCAAACCATAGACTGTATAAAAAAGATGGATGACATGACAGCTCCCCAAAAGCCAAAACATCTCAATAATCACCTGGTTGCTGGCTGCAGTATAGGTCATAAACCCCGTCCCCTTAATGGTAGCAGATGGGACAGTGACCAAACTAAAAACTTCAGGTACACAACAAATACTCAAATACATTTTGGACAAATATGGTATCTATCAATTAAGGTAGTAGTTCTCATCATGCTGATGTTTGTTCAGGTATTAATTTTTCTTAAATAAGTTTGATTTTAACTAGTAATTTTATGTTAAATTAGAATTACTACCCTGCGACTGTTACCTCCGTGCACCAGCCAAGTTTCCATCCATGTCTGTGAAAACATGGATGCTTCACACACATTTTCGCCCGACAGCACAGAAGATCTATACCAGATCTATAACTTTGACCCCAAAATTCTAATCAGTTTATTCTTCAGTCCAAGTGAAGGTTTGTGTCAAATTTAAGATTAAGATATCATGTTCACAAAATTGAGACAGACAAGGTCACAGTGACCTTGACCCTTTACCACCAAAAACTAATCAGTTCATCATTGGATCCAAGTGAATGTTTGTGCCAAATTTGAATAAATTCTCTCAAGCTAAGATATTATGTTTATGAGAATGAGATGGATTCAAGTTTACAGCAACCTTGTCCATTGACCTCTGACCGGCAAAATCTAATTAGTTCATCCTCAAGTCTAAGTGCATGTTTGTGCCAAATTTAAAGAAAGTCCGTCAAGGTGTTCTTGAGATATCAAATTCACGAAAACGAGACAAACAAGGTCACAGTGACCTTGCCCTTTGACCACCAAAAACTGATCAGTTCATCACTGAGTCCGTGGACATTTCTAACAAATATGAGTTGCGTTTCTGAGATATTGTGTTCATGAGAATTAGATAGACACATGGTCACAGTGACTTTGACCCTCAACCATCAAATTCAAATAGTTCATCTGTGAGTCCAGATGGATGTTTGTGCCTATTTGAGGAAAGACCCTTAATGTGCTCTTGAGATATCACATTCACAAGGATGGGACATGTATGTTTGTATGTACAGATGGATGAACAACCTGAATACATAATGCCTCCGGCCATGGCTATCGTGGAGGCATAACAGAGGGGGACTGAGGTCATGATTGACAGCTGTGTGTGCCAGTTGGTATGCTCTCTATCAGTGACACTGCTGGCAACTGGTCGGACAGATGTATGGGCGGGAACTGCTGCTGCTGCTGCTGCTGCTGCTGCTGTGAGACTGGGATTTCTGTGAGACTGACTGGACTTTACCTATCCAGAATCTCTTGAATCCTAGATTTGACTTTGGTATATTTATTCAAATTGAGTTAAACAGAGGCTACACCAACTTTATTATCAACCTGGGCCAGAAATTTAGCTCTGGATGTATAATTCTATTGGACTTGGATCATCCAGGCTTTAAGCCTTTTAGGCCTTAGGCCTTATTCTGGGCTGAGTCGTTCACTGGACTTGATCTTCATTTTGCCATGCCACCTAAAAGGCGCTCCAACAATAACTCAGAGAAACCCATCGCCATGGCTCAGGTGCGTGAATTACTTGAGCAACAAAAAGACTTCTATAAAAAACTCCTATAACAACAGGAGAAAAACTTTCAACTGTGTGCTGAAATTCTTGTTGATTCCTCTAACAAAAGAGCTGTGGAGCTGCTGAAAGAATTCCTCAGGACTAGTCTGAAATTTAATCATAAGGAATTTCATAACTTTCAAATCCACTGCAAGATATGGGGTTATACATGCAAAGAGACAAGGAATAATGCTGAAACAGTATGCAGTATGTCTCATTTCTCTCAATGACAAAATTGAAGGGCAATCCAGATAACAATATTGTCATTGATGGAAAAAAGAATCAATCAATGAAAAATGGTCCGATTCTGAGGACAAAGTAAAGAAGCTGCTGTCTGAAAAGTGACTAGGAGGGTTTCGCCATCGTCCACCGGGCCAGGTACAGTACAATACAGAACAGGCCCATTTTCGTTAAGTTCCTAAGCTGTTGGGACAAACTGGAGGTCCTCAGCAAGGCCAAAGTCCTGAAAGGCACTGACATCTTCATAACAATAATAATAATGATAATAATATTAATAAACTATTCATATAGTACCTTTAAAAACACAATTAAAAAGTGCTTTACAATAAAACTTAACACTTTAAAACACAAGGAGAATGAAACAAATTCAAAAGAAATAAATGAGAATTAGAGTTATAATATAGCAATAAAATAGACAGCTCAGATAAAATCAGGAAATGTTTTTTCAACTGAGGTATGTTTTCAGGGAGAGACTTAAATGAAGACAGTGACTCAGACAACCTTATAATCTCGGGCAGGTCCATTCTAGAGCTTGGGGCCCTGATTTCAAAAGTTCTGTTCCTTTTAGTCTTTATCGAGCTATTAGGGTGAATGCCATCATGACAGAAAAAAGCTGGACCTTTCCAGAAGAGATTGACACTGTTCACAAAAGCCATGTTATGGGCTACACAGATGAACTCCAACCAGGTATGGAAACTGAGAGTGCAGCTAAAGTGGCTCATGCCAGGGTTAAGAGGGGGGAAGGGACCAACGACAAAAATCCTTTTACTGTGGCCCCTGAGAGTCGAGAAGTCTGGTGAAGTCACATTTTAGTATTGCACTTATCCAAAAACGACACTTCTGATAAAGACACACAGTTTCCATAAGTAGTGCATTAGCAGGGTTTTTCCTGCACAGAGAATTACGAGGTGGCCACCTCCATTAAATTTTGCCTCGCCCCAACTCTTTACAAAAATCTGATGGGTGTCATAAAGGAAAACACTTATTTCTCATAAGTATTGCTCTTGATGGATTTCTGTCATTTGTGGTTGGTGTTTTGTAGCAACTTGTCAGTGTGTTTCCAACAGCCTCTTAGGTCCCAAATGTGGTGTTTTGTGGCAATCCATCAGTGGAGTTAGTGTCATTTTTTTTTTTTTTTCAATTACAGAGACATCACAGCTGACCAAGTGGATTTTGTTTGTGAACCTGACCACACATTAAAGCCACAGTTAACTTTTATAAAAATAACTTTTTTTCATATTTGCAATAAATGTCACATTAGAATCATGAGCAATGTAGCAGGTGGAGCAAATGTACGCCCATAATTCAATTAGGGTGAGCAAAATAATGGTTTTGATACCCTACTTTAAATTTTTAAATCTTATCATCATACAATTATTATTATTTAACAACGATCAAGCTGAAGATCAATTTGAGTAAGTAAAGTAAGTAAATATTTCTTTTGACCATGTCGGTTGATACACATACTGTGGAGTGCAAAATCTTCACATTTCTTCAGCAAACGAAAACACACAGAATCACTTGAGTTTGAAGAAAGGGCAAATGTTGGCTGAAATCAGGGCCCAATTATAGGCTTACAGCCACAGTCTACATCTGGTAAAACAGACTATGATATGCCACACCTGTCAGGTGGATGGATTATCTATCTCAGAAATATATCTCTTGAGTGCATAATAATTGTCTTTGACCTATAACTTAAACCTGTGAAAAAAGGGGGTAAAAAAAAAGTGTTGCATTTAAAGTTTTGTTTAGTGTATATTATATTCCATTTCTGCCAACATATCCCCCTAAATCCTACACACTTGACCTAAATTGGAATTAATGGATTTCTGCATCATCTTAATGACAGACTTTTCAGAATTAACATTCCAATTAGATTTCAAAAAATGTACTATATCATAACATATACTGATATTGGGTTAATGAGATTACAGATTCCAAATTAAGTGCAACAGTATTTTCAGAAATCTTGAAAATGTTTGGAAGTAACTGAAGTGGAAACCCTACATCTCGTTTTCATGAACATCTAAATATACTGCGCACTTGCAACCACAAAAAAACAAACCAAAAGTGCACCACCACTCCTTGGTCACTGTGCAAAACACACTTAGCTAGGGTTGGGCGATAATACGATAATAAGGTATCTAGCGGTATCTAAAAATAGCAACGTTATCAGTTCATGGAAAAAAAAAAAAAATCTGCCATGCATATAGGCCTATAGGGGCCTGATATAATTTTAAATATAATTTATTTCATGCCTAAATAATGAGTGTTTGTCCAGCACCTATGTATGTGTGGTTGAGTTTTCAATTTAATACTAGGGATGCACTGAAATGAAAATTTGTGGCCGAAGCCGAATAAAATTAAATGCTTGGCTGAATACCGAGTACCGAATACCGAATGCCGTTGTTTAGTTTTTCATTAGTTTTGCAGATGAACCCCCTCCAGATTAGTGTTGTCACGGTACCAAAATTGGGACCCACGGTACGATACCAGTGAAAGTATCACAGTTCTGAGCAGTATCATGATACCACAGCGAAAATGAGGCAGATGTGCCTTTTGTCATTTATAAAAAGATAAATCACTTTTCTATAATACATCAATGATATTTCAATGGAATAAATTACTTATTGACTTATTCATACTTCAAAAACAGTATCAATAAGTGATTAACATAGCGGGGATCGAAATAAAATAAATAAATAAAATAAAAATCAACCAGCCACCCTCCTCCCCTGACAAGTAAAGAACAGTCCCTTAAGTGCGCTGAGGTTTGTGGAAATGTGAACGGCTCGTTTCCCCTCTGACACGTCACATACCTGTGTGCCGCCACGGCTCGGCTGTCCAGGTACTTTTGAGCAGTCATGACACCAAGAAGAGGAAATTATTGGACCTGGAGCCGGACTTCTCCGTCGCCAGTAAGCCGTTATCTTGCGCCGTGGAGCACTATGGCCGCCGTATTTGACAGGAATACATTCCTGTCTGTGCCTGTGACCCCCGTTCAACCCACAACCGGCAGGATTCGCCTTTCGTTTCTGCTGCTGGTTGAAATCTGTACTCCCACAGCTGCTCCTGAATGATTTCTTTTGCTCGCACAAAACTATTTTTAGTCGCAAATGCGAGTAAAATGCTCACACCGTAGAGCTCTGTGGAAAACAAATCACTGTGTTTTAGTACCGCAGTCTACCGTTGGTACCAGTATACCCTGCAACACTACTCTAGATGGTTCAGTATTACATTCTTTGCAAACCACTTTTCTTCTATCACTCTCCAACACTTTGAAATATCGCCGCACTGCCGACATTTTAATCCAGTATCTTTGATTTTACTCCGTCCGTCACCGCATGCTGTTTGATTGCGTCATCAAAACACGCCGCTATTATTCGGCCTTGCTTTTCACTTACTCCACCGAATACCGAATGTGTGTATTTTTGCAATATTCCGCCGAATATATTCGGTTACCGAATATTCGGTGCATCCCTATTTAATACTATCACAATTCAAAACTAATAGTAGGCTATAATGTTTCTCTTTTAACTGCCCTTAACTGTTGTCAGGAGATGACATTTGGTAAAGTTTTTGGATGTGACGTCGTCACGTGACAGCTCAGACGTGAGAAAGAGAAGAAAAGATGGCAAGCCGTGCATCAAGCGAGTTGGTCCCAAAAAAAAAAAAAAAAAACCCACACAACTTCTGCAAGCAGCAGTAGCAGGTCCAATGGCCATCAGAGTGGAGGAGGGAGAAGCACAACCCGAACCACCCAGCACCGCGGCCAAAGTTGTCAATCCACTATGTGCCCTGCTCCAACCGGATAAAGTAAACATGCTGTTTTTTTGGCGAAAAACCTTGAATAGTTTTGAAGCATAGGATGCTGCTATAGTTATCACTATAACTTCGTTTTTTTTTTCATTTTCAATGAGGAGTAGCCTGTTCTAACGGACAGAAAAGTTCGGACTTGGAGAGGGTGAAGTATTTCCCATTGCCTTCTCAGGATAGGATTATATATGCCCATTTTCGGTTATACCTTGTTATTTATTGTTCTGTTTTTCTTATTTGAGAAGCCCTACTGAATGCTGTAGAGCTGTGCTTTAATTTATTTGATTTATGTTGATAGGTTCTAAAAGTAAACCAACGGACAGTACCCGTTGCGGTCTCAGGATACGCTGTATAGCACACATTATCGTTACTGCCTTTGTTAATTATTGTTACTTTTTATTATTTGATAAGCCTGTAAGTATTGGTTGCTATAGGGCTGTGTTTTAATTTAATTGATCTGTGTCGATTACTGTAGTGGAAGTGGACCGTAGCCCACAGACAATTTGTCGTTATTTCATTCTGTTTGGTTGACTGCTGCATTTGCATTTTTTAAAAAATATTTATTAATAAAAGTTGTTAATGTTGTACATGTTTTGTTGTTATTTTTTCAGTATTCTTAGGCCTATGTAATGTTTGCTATTCTGTTTCTGAACAGTATAGGCGCAAGCCGACATTTTGGCGACTCCCTCTGAGCCCTTCAAAGTAATTTTTAATTAGTCACGGTAATAGTGTATACCCGGGAAAATGTGGGGAAGGTTTAACGGTAACAAAATTTGGATACCGCCCAACTCTACACTTAGCATTTTAAACCTTGTGTGGTGGTATCTAGAACATGGTTTAAGAAAAATGTTCACCAAAACGCTAGTCGGCGGTGGACTCTATTAAGTGCTGTAAAGTTTAGTTGATTCAAAACACACATTAAATATGGCTTAATAGAGACAATTTCAAACACAAGTATGCAAATTGGCTTCACTATAAATTGCAGCATTGACAGACAAACACTTGTCTTTATCTTAACACATTTCCCCCACCAATACAACATGCTAACGTTATTAGTACAAGTCTATGGCATTTTACATTGTATAATTTAGCCTAGCTGCCAGCAATCTTTCACTCTTCTCATATAAAACCAGGGACAACAGCAACATGTAACAAAGGTAACGGTGGGGCGTCAGTGGATTAGTGGATAGAGCAGGCGCCCCATGTACAAGGCTGTTGCCGCAGCGGCCCGGGTTCGACTCCGGCCTGTGGCCCTTTGCTGCATGTCATTCCCTCTCTCTCTCCCCCTTCACACTCAGCTGTCCTATCAATTAAAGGCAAAAATGCCTAAAAAATATCTTTAAAAAAAACAGCAAAGGTAACGGCACATAATTTGACTCCATTACAACTCACAAGATTCACCGACAAAACAACTGTCTTATACTAAACATGTTTTCCAAGCAAATACAACATGTTAACGTTAATAGCGCCAGCCTATGGCATTTTACATTGTATAAATTAGCCTAGCAACTAACGTTAGCAATCTTTCCTTGTCTCATATAAAGCCAGGGACAACAGCAACATTTAACAAAGGTAACTGCACTCAATTTGGCTCCATTACAACTCACAAGATTCACCGACAAAACAGCTGTCACACTAAACACGTTTTCCAAAAAATACAACATGCTAACGTTATTAGCGCCAGCTTGTGGCATTTTACGTTGTATAAATTAGCCTAGCGACGAGCGGAGATTTCCTCTGTTCATATGAAGCCAGTATGAATCCCGAAGTATAAATCCCTAAAGGATAAATCACACACAAGACTTAAAATGCTATTTTGTGGAGGCCTTAATGTCTTCACAATTTATTGTTTCTTATCTGTGAAATACAAGTAAATACAAGCTTTGTTTCCACTGAGGGAAATGGTGTCAGTATACAGAAACAGAAAGGAGGTCTGCATCACCGCAACGCTGAGAATTAGGGTGGACGAGTTTAACGTTGTGTAAACCAAGGGGGTGTTTTAAAAACACCCCCATTTCCACAGTTAACTTAGCCTGTCCCTCCTGCTGCAGGAAATAATGGATTAATCCTGGAAAGCTACTGATGTAGCACTTTTCTCCTTATGAGAGGAACACGGCGATTATTCGACTAATGAGAATTTGGTCGGATGAGAGCATATCGACCAAATAATCAACTAGTCGGCCAGGAGACTACAGCCCTACTGTTAGCATGACTACTTTTTTTTGGTTCAGTTGTAAGAGAGACTGACGGGAAATGGGAAAAATAAAATCATAACAGCAGCAGATTTACATTTTGATATTTTAAATGACTTAAGTAGTAAAAGTGGCTGTCCCAGCTTCATATAGGAGTCCCCAACTAAGAATTTAAATATTCAAATCTGATTGGTCAAGTCTTGCCTAATGTCAACTGATCACTGATTTTTTTTTGTTTGTTTGTTTTTAATGCTCATTGATCTATATTCTCATTCTTTTTTCCACACCGCACACAAGAGTTGGACATAATTAAACAATTTGTGGACCTTGGGAGGCAGCTTAAGTTTCCTGAGCATATTGCAAGGATGTCACTCAGGCCAGATTTGGTCTTAACATCTGACTCCACAAAGCAAGTTGTGCTTCTAGAACTTACAGTCCCCTGGGAAGACCAGATGGAAGGCCAAATACCTTGAGCTGCTAGAGGCCTGTAGGTAGATTGATTGGAGGGCCCACAGGGCACCAATCGAGGTGGGCTGCAGGGGTTTCCCAGGGCAATCTATGCACTGGGCACCCAGGCTCCTTGGCATTAGAGGGTAGCAGGGGAGGAAAGCCACAAGAAACCTTGGTGAAGATGCAGAAAAAGCCACAAAGTGGCTGTGGATCAAGTGGGCAGATGTGGTGGGACTGATCTCCCCCGGCTGGGTCACCCAGGTGAGGCTGTCTGATGATCTAAGACACGCAACACCCTATGACCCTTGGTTCATCACAGATTATGTGTCCAAGCCATGCCACCTAGGTGTTTCTAATAACTGTCTTCATGACTCTGCATAAGAATGTAGAACTTTCAACTTTCTCCCATCCACAAAGCTGTTTTTTTTAACTTTCACTCAACTTTGCTGTGTAGTGCACAAAATATCAAAGTCAGTGATAGAGACACAGAGAAGACTGTAATGGATGACTCAGTTGACTAAACCCACAAAAACAACACCCCATGAGTGTATTCCTTTAAACCAGGGTGTCAGTGTTGCTTTTGCAGGGTTGAGGTTGCAGGTCATGCACAAACATACCCTGAGTTCTGGTTCTGCCGTCATCAATCCCTGAGGCCAGAGACTCCATCATCTCAGCTCTCTTACAGTGAAACTCTGCAGGGGTAATAAGGCCCCTGGCTACAGCTCTCTCCATGGTCCTCTCCATCTGTCTACAGTAGCCCCCTCTGCCGTCCACTCCAAACTGCCTCTGCACAAACAGCATACCATACATCAGGCTGACAGACTGGAGTCTTGTTTAAGTGTAAGACTGAAAGTGTTCAGATACTCAAACATGTGCTACTGCATTACATGTATACAGAGAGAAACCACAAGCTTCTGACAGTCCACACACACAGCAGAGGAAAAATCATGACAACACATGGCTGTTTAGACACAACACTAGTAAACTACAAAACTGGGTGTGGAAACAGGTTTGTTGATCACTGAATGACTACTAGGGGTCTGGGAAAAAAAATTAATACAGCATAGTATCCCAATATTTTTGTGTGGCAATATCGCATCATCACACAGTGCTAAGTATCGATTTTTTAATTACATAAATTATTAATATTATAAATACAAATTAAACTTTTGGTAGCCTACTTGTCTTTTCAGTTCACTGAATACATTATGCTGCAAAAAAAAGACTGGAGTGAGATGAACAGACTAAAAACTTTTTCTTATTAGATAAAACAGATGTTGACAAAGTTTTCCTTTGGGGACATAATTCATAGTTGAAAACAGGTAATTAATCGAAAGATATCGCAATATATTTTAGCACAATACTCAGCATACTGCAACATGTTTAAAATAGCAGTAATATTGTATCATGACTTAAGTATCATGATAATATCATATCCTGGAGCCTCTGATGATTCCCACCCCTAATGACTACATCAACTTTTATTTTGAAATGTAAACCTGAGCTCCAATATGTTTGACTTCAGAAACATTAAAATTGTTTAGTCACCTGTAACAAAAACCCCTGTTGAAGCTGTAAATAGTTTTAAGTTCTTAGGCATCCAGATCACAGACTCCCTCTCCTGGTCCCTGAACATCAATTGTGTTATCAAAAAGGCACAACAGAGACTTTACTCTCTGAGGTGTCTGAGGAAACATGGCATGTCCACAAAAACCCTCATCAACTTCTACCTGTCCACAATAGAAAGCATCTTGACTGGATGCACACTGGTATGTAGGGCTGGGCGATATGGCCTAAAAATAACATTTCTAATCTTTTCACACCACACTTAATTTACGATTTTAAACATAGTTTTTTTTTTCTTTCTTAAAAACAAACTACTGAAGACAATGGAAAAACTTTTAACCAAATTTAAGAAAAGCTATTTCCATTGCCCCCTTCCTCCTGATTTTTTGCATCCACGGTGCAAGAAGGGTGGTGTTTTTTGAAAAGCAGTGGAAGCTCAAATTGTGTTTCTATCGAGCTGAAGCTGAGCAAAGTGGCACACAGGAAAGATCAGCCACAGTTCTAAGAAACTTGTACGACACACAAATCTTGTACATTTTTCATTTACGTGCAGCACTCATTGTTAGTGTTGAGTGGCTCTGACTAAGATGGAAAGAAAAGTGGAAACTTGTGTGCTGACTGCTGTTGAAACTGGATGTGTGTTACTGAACTTGTGCACAGAGCCTATTGAAAGCTCTCAGCAGTATGGAAAGTAGAGAAGAGATCATCATTCACCCAGCTGATAAGTAAGGGTTAATGCCCAACAAGGTGTTCATTATCTCCGCTGCATGTCAGGCAGTTCTGGCCTCCCTGATTATAAAAACTCAAAGAGCATTATCCTGCTTGTTCCATGGTCATTTGCCAAAGAAAAAGAAAACTGATAGGGAATATAATTTGACAGTATGTTTAACAAGAATCCAGACCTGCAGCTTCTTGAACTCCTCTCTTTCCTGCCAGGCCTCCTTCTGCCTCCTCCTCTGCTCTTCCTCCTGCTGAAGCTGTCTAGCCAGCTTCAGGTCTGACCCCAGTCTCTCTGTAGCGACACATGTAAACCAAAGGCTTAGAAATGTATAAGCTGAGTGTGCATCAGATCAGACAGATACATAAAACGGATTGAGAAAAGTGCAATAGAGTAAGCAGGGAGGTATGAATATATGCCCACCTGCAGAGTTCACAGCTGCTCTGTTATCTAAATGCAGTTCCACATGTTCCTGCAGAGAGAAGCCGTCACTGCAGACAACAGAGCACAGAGGGCACTCAAATCTTTTCTCTCCTACAAAAAAGATCATAAACTTCATTTAAATCCAGTTATTGCAAGCTTATTTCATATGGGGGGGTTAACAACAGAGAGAGACAGGCTAATGGTCTTTTTTATCTGGTCCAGTCCGTGTCATCCTTTAATAGTCAGATTAAATTATGTTATACCATGGCCTGGGTGAATACTCCATTCTGATTGGCTGTAGGGTTTCCATTAAAACCTAAGTAATTCCAGTAAAACTGTCTGTTAATTAGGGGTGTAACGCTTCACAAAATTCACGGTTTGGTTCAATACAATACGTGGCGTCACGGTTCGGTAAAGTAAAAGAAAAGTAAAAATGCCAGAGAAACTGCCTTGATTTTTAAAAATTTAATTTATGAAAACTAAAATAATTGGGATTTTGTTTTTTGTACAAAGCAGAAACTACGGTCAGGGTAAAATGGGCTCCGTAAAGTCTGGGTAAAGCAAAATCAGTGATTCGTTGTAAACACATCATACATGTTGGAAAATACTTGTTGAAAGTAGTGTTGGGCAGTATCTAAATTTTGTTACCGTTAAACCTTCCCCAAAATGTCTGCTTGCACCTATAACGTTCAGAAACAGAATAGCAAACATTACATAGGCCTAAGAATACTGAAAAATAACAACAAAACATGTACAACATTAACAACTTTTATTAATAAATATTTAAAAAAGTGCAAATGCAGCAGTCAACCAAACAGAATGAAATAACAACAAATTGTCTGTGGGCTACAGTCCACTTCCAGTACAGTAATCAACACAGATCAATTAAATTAATACACAGCCCTATATGATCCAATACCTATAGGCTTTTCAAATAATAAAAAGTAACAATAATTAACAAAGGCAGTAACGATAATGTGTGCTATACAGCGTATCCTGAGACCGCAACGGGTACTGTCAGTTGGTTTACTTTTAGAACCTATCAACATAAATCAAATAAATTAAAGCACAGCTCTACAGCATCCAGCACGAGGGCTTATCAAGTAAGAAAAACAGAACAATAAATAACAAGGCATAACCAAAAATGGGCATATATAATCCTATCCTGAGAAGGCAACGGGAAATACTGTTCGTTGGTTTATTTTTATTTTATTTTATTTATTTAAGTTAGGAGGGACAGTGCACATTAATGAACATTTATATGTAAATATGCCGGATTATAGCCCCAGGCTAATTTTCATCCGTAGTCCCTTGGCAGGTTGATCTTACAGAGTAGTAAAAAAAAAAAAAAAAAAAACGTTAGAAGAAAGGAAAAAAAGAAAAACATGAGATAGTGAATACATTAGTTCACCGAGGACAAAAAGAGAAAAAATACATACCATATAAGAGAAAACATAACAACATGGTGTACAAACATCAAAAACCGGGGCCATTGAGGTGAATGTCTGTCCAGTCCAGTGTATGAAATTGAGTCCAAATAAAGTGCTATGTGCTGTGGTTATTGCATGATGCCCATATTGACGTATGTGGATATAAAAAAAAAAAGAAGAAAAAAAAAAAGACAATAAACAACAACGACAGTAATTGAGTCCACATAGAATTCTATGTCAGAGTTATTGCACAATGCCCATAGACCACATATTTCAAGTATTTCCGCTATAAGTGCCAGTGCTGATAGATAAATATACATATAGACCAATGGTCACATTTCACAAAGTGCTAAGTGCAGGTGATATTGCACTATGCCCATGATGTGCTACATGCTAATATTTGACTGAAGAATATACTACCCATGATTACATATTTGATTGTTTCTGAGCCACAGTTTTAAGTGACCCTTGAAAATAGCAAGGCTGGAGCTTTCTCTGATTGAGGGTGGTAAGGAGTTCCATAAGGTGCTTCCTCTGAAAGACAGAGCATTTTGACCAACGGAGGTATGTCTCAGTGGCACCTTGCAGTCACCTCTAACAGTGGCTCTAGTAGTTCGAGTCGAGGAGTTATCGATTGTCATTTGTATAATGTGTTCGGACAGTGGCGGTGGAGCCAACCCATGTAAAACTTTAGAGCCTACCTTTAGTTTGAAAAGTTCACCCTCTCCAAGTCCAAACTTTTCTGTCCATCATTGAAAATGAAATAAAAACAAAGTATAATGATAACTATAGCAGCATCCTATGCTTCAAAACTATTCAAGGTTTTTCGCCAGAAAAACCAGCATGTTTACTTTTTCTGGCTGGAGCAGGGCACGTAGTGGATTGACAACTTTGGCCGCGGTGCTGGGTGGTTCGGGTTGCGCTTCTCCCTCCTCCACTCTGATGGCCACTGGACCTGCCGCTGCTGCTTGCAGAAGTTGTTAAGTTGTGTATTTGTTTTGGGACCAACTCGCTTGATGTGCGGCTTGCCATCCTTTCTTCTCTTTCTCACGTCCGAGCTGCCACGTGACAACGTCACACTGGTGTAATTTTTAGTGGGGACGGTGGGGTCGTGTCCACACCAATACCCAGCGAGTGCTGAAATGTCCCCACCCATAATCTGGTACACAAACGGTTAACCACTAGTCGCTCCTCATATACCGCTGAAAAGCTTGTGACAGGATTCCCCATCCAATCCAAGCAAGTTTAGCTCAAAGCCCCGCCCTTGAATGAAAAACTACGTTTTCATTGGCTGAGATGTCCTCCACCTTCCTGGGAGCTTGAGCTCTGTGCAGCGCACACTTTTCTTCAGAGGCAGGCAAAGCTGAGCTGCTACAGTAGTTAGCGTAAGTTATCAATCTTCGCTCATTACATCAATATACTAAAGTTATTCATCAAAACAACTACGGCTGGGCGATCATACGATCTCAATTCGGGATCGCGATAAAATTTTGATCAATCTCAATTATCAGCATTGGACGTTTTGAATCGACATCATATGGCAAAAGTAAGCGCAACAACAGCATATCATAGTCTGCCGGCTACCGTATGCCGTGCAGGCAGAATACGCCCACTTCTCATTGTAAGCGTGGCTACAGTTGTGACGGGAGGTAAACAGAGAGAGAGAAGTTGGAAAAAGGAGAAAAAATGAGTGAAACTGAAGTCAAGGACAGCAAAAATAATGCAGAACGTGAAAGCGACATCACTGTATCATCCGAAACCAAAGATATTGTTGGAAAAAAGAGATAACGCAACGTCAGTTGTGTGGAAGTGGTTTGGATAACGTTACCTCAAAAGTGACGAGGAGCAGATGAAGCCGGTCTGCAAAATATGTCGGCGGTTGGTACCAACCAGGTCGGGAAACACCACAAACCTTTTCAATCACCTGAGACGGCACCATCCCAGTGACTACACAGAGTCAAACTATGTGGCCTCAAGTTGCCCCGACTCCACACACACAGCCTAGCAAGACCCCTTCACCTGCTGTTGGCGTCTCTAGCGGCAGCTTAGCAAAACAACAGTCTATCCAGTCGTGTTTTGCAGCCATTACCCCATATGAGAAGCATTCAAAGCGGTAAGTTAATATACAATGTTTCAATAAGTTAAAGCTTTTATTTGACATTGCTTCTCGTTCTTTGAGTCTACATATGGCTAAAGGGGAAAAAAACAACCGTAAACGGACAACATGATAAGTGTTGCGTTCAAGGTCCCCCCAAAAAACGGGAGAAAAAAAAGGCCGAATATTCGATTTTTTTTTTTTTTTCACAATCGAATCCCGTGCCATCGAACGAAGCTTCGAATTTTTTGGGTCAGCCCTAAATCCCACATGCAAGGGGCTAGCCATAAGGTTGTTGTTTTCAGCAAGTTGGCCTTGAATAGCTGATGTTGAGCTGTAGAGCTGTGTTTCAGTGAATCTCGTTTCTTCAAGCTCCAATCAGGATGCTCCCTGAACTGGCAGAATCAGCAAAAACTACATATCATGATAAAAATTGAGATCGATCAATATGAAAAAATATATCGTGATAACATTTTTGGCCATATCGCCCAGCCCTAAAAACAACTACTTATCCTTTCTCTATATATTAATATAATCCTATCATCGCCTCAAATATACTCAGAACGTTTTAATTATGCTTGTCATTAATTAGCCGCCAGTTTAGCTAGTGCTAGCTAGTTTATTCTGCTCGATGTAGCCTTCCAGCCATCAGTAGCCCACTTGATCCAACGTCAAGAGGTGGACATCATTGGATCCCTCTTTCCCCTGCATAATCTAGCTAGCTAACTGCTATTGTCGTTATAAGAACAGAGTTGGACTCAGGCTACAAAGTTTCCTCTGTTTTGTTGTTATGGAAATAGCCGAGCCAGCCTAGTAGCTAACTAGTATAGCCTGTGTGTATGTTTAATCCAGATGGCAGCCCAAATAGCAGCCAAAAGAAGAAAGGTGGACGTAAGGAGCTATTTCAGAAGAGTAAGTCGATTTTAAAGAAAATGTTTTCTCAATTGCCAGAATCAATAATAATCATAGGCTAATAATAATAGCCTACTTAACTAAGCTACTGCCTGGCTACACGTTTTTCCTCACTGTTAATATGCCATGTGTCAACATGCAGGTGACAGAAGCAGTGCCAGGCACTAGTGCAGGCAGAGAAGAGGAAAGTGGAGAGGCAGGGACAGGGTCACAGGTGAGCTAGAATGACTTGGTGATATGTTAGTTAGGCTAGACATAGTACTTTATTGTGACAAATATTAGGCTGATGATTTATTGTATAACAATGGTTCATCAATGTTGATGCGTGTCTGAATTGAGAGCTTTGAATAGACAAATGTCTCACTGCTCATATGACATGGATCCATGTGCAGATGACAGAAGCAGTGGTGTCAGGCACCAGCGCAGGCAGAGGAGAGGAAGGTTGAGAGGCAGGGACAGGGACATAGGTGAGCTTGAATAATAATGACTTGGTGATAGTAGTTAGTTGTTAGATTTAGTATTGTGACAAATGTTGATCTGATGATGTACTGGTTGGTTCATCATCGTCTGTTTGAAATGGGCATTTTGAATAGGCACGTTTCACTGGTCACATGACATGCATCAATGTGTTATTTTAACAGTCTCAGAAGCAGGCCTGCCAGATATTGGCACAA